GAACCCGGGCCGCACGCATGCTAGGCAAGCGCGCTACCGCTTGAGCCACATCCCCAGCCCCGGTTCCAAAGTTTTCTAAGGAATCTCCATGTGTACCATTTTACAATCCCACCAGCGATGAATCAGTGTATCTTTTCCCCCACATCATCACCAGCACTTAATTGTTGCTTGAATCCTTGATGATTGCCATTCTGACTGGAGTTGAAATCTGTCTTGATTTGCATTTCTAGAGATGTTGAGCATTTTTTTGTATATTTGTTGATTAATATATCTTCTGTGAAGTATCTGCTCATCTCCTTAGATCACTTATTGATTATCAGTTCTTTTGATGTTAAGTTTTTGGAGTTCTTTATATACCCTGGAGATCAGTGCTCTATCTGATGTGCATGTGGTAAAGATTTTCTCCCATTCTGTTGGTTCTCTCTTCACATTGTTTCCTTTGCTGCAACACATTTTAGCTGGAATCCATCCTATTTATTAATTCTTGATTTTATTTCTTGTGCTTTAGGAGTCTTTTGTTAAGAAAGTCAGGTCGTAAGCTGATATGATGAAGACTTGGGCCTGCTTTTTCTTCTATTAAGTGCAATCTCTGGTCTAATCCCTAGGCCCTTGATCTACTTTGAGTTTTGTGCAGTAGCCCTTTACTTTTTTGAGGTAAGTTCTCCCTAAATTGCTTAGGCCTTAAATTTGAGACCCTCCTGCTTCAGCCTTCCAAGTAGCTGGCATTACAGATGTTGCCCACCACTCCAGGTTGGGAAATCATATGAAAGTGCTCTTAACTGAAGAGAAAGAGCCTCTGATGTGAGAACTCCTGACCTTATAGCTATTTCCATCCATGAGACATTAGCTCTGATCACAGCATTAACCAGGCCTGCTAAAATCCAATGGCCTTGCTCAGCTTTGCTGTGAAAGTCATGCTATCTAGCAAGATGAAGGCAGCTTGTGCTTGCTCATTTTCCTGAAAACCAGGTGGCTTATGCCAAAATCAGACGAAAATGTCAGGCCCTTGGGCTCCTAGGGTATGTAGCTCAGGCCACAACTAGAATTCAGACATCTAGAAGTTATTTATGGTTTATTTCTTTATTATTTCTCCTTTTATCAAAACCTGTCACAGCTGGGGACCAAGTAAAAAAAAATTCCCAAATATTTCCCCTGGTTCCCTGTTAGTTCTGCCCCAACCCCCCTACCCAGGGCCTCCGGCCAACCTTAGGCACACATGATCATCTCCCCCCACCCTCAGCCTTCTCCCAGCAATAAATATAGGTGACGTGATTCAATGAAATCACAACTGATTTCTCCATTTTGAATGCCCCAAAGGGACCAGAAGGGGGCAAAAGAAGTTTAATGCCCATCCTGTCTTAATCAAGGAGGCATGGAAACATTTTCCCCTCAAGGGACAGGGGAGGTTGAACTGCCCCTGCCAGAAATGCAGCAGCCCTAGAAGGAATTGGGGAGAGGAAAAAGTTGGGATGAAAGGGAAAAGGATGTTTTCCAGCAACTTCACTTCTTTGATCCATTCATTCATCCCTTATCAGATAAGGGGTGGTCCCAGTGTAGAAGTGGGGCAGAGAAAGGGAAGAGCTGGCAGGGTAGAACCAGGAGGAAGAAATAAAAGGAGAGGGCATTTTGGTGGGGGAGAAAGGGAAGAAGAAGAGGAACTCTAAACCTAAAATTCACTGTCCTCATCTTCTTCCAAGAAATGGCATTAACACACAAGAGGCATGAATGGAGAAGTCTGGGGGAAATTTAGGACCCTTTAGGAAGGGGAAGGGAAAGGGAAAGGGAGGCAAGGACCCTGTGGTCCCAGGTCTTTGCAAGTGAGTGTGCTCCAGGAAGAGCCACAGGATGCTGGAGGGATGAAAGGAAAGACTTGGAATCAACAGAACAGGAGAGGTGAGGAGGTCACAAGAGGAATTCAGAGCCCAAGCACAGTCCTCTCATCCTGTCCAGATGTTAGCAGAATCTGGGTCTTGGGATAAGAATTTTGAAGTCTGGGGAGGGTCAAACTCCAAGGCAGAAGAAAGGGCAGCTCTCACCACCACCACACCCTTCCCCCCTCAACCCAGAACATATCCTGTTGGTTATCGCAGATGAATACTCCAGTCAGATGATACATTGACACCAGGCTTGCGCAGTATCAACACAGAGGTCTCAGGGTCATACTGGAAGGATAGATGGCTTTCAGGAGATCCTGGAGAAGGAAGAAGAAAAAGCTTCATGGTCAGCAGTGAGCTGCTTCCCTACAGACAGACACCATCCCCAACCTCACCCATCTGGCCTCCACTTCCCTTTTCCCTAACTTGGGGCCAGGTTAGTCACTTACCTTTTGTCTGAAGCACCACTGCTGCCGGCTTTCCA